TTAAAATTGTCTTTCCTTTTTCTGATATTTCTTATAATTTTCTGTAATTTTTTAAACTGAAACAAAATCAATAAATTGGATATTGGATAGTTCGAATACTGAAAATAGAATTGTGTTTTTGTGTAACATATTTTTGCTTTGATTATCATTTGTTTCATTAGTGAGTAGTAATTCTGATTTCGAGGTTAATGTGAAAAATGAAGCATTAAAATCGTTTCTGTAATGGAAACAGATTTTCCATGTGGATTAAATAAGAATCGATATCGAATTACAACGTTTAAGCCTCTCACCGTCGAATAAAACGAAGTGACGAGCAACCATAATCATCTTAATTATCCAAAACAACGAAACACCGCGGCCGATGGAATTAATGTGGAAAATTGTAACGAGCGGCAATAAGTGAATCACGCGGAACGGAACGGATTGGTGTTCCGATTAAGTTGATTAAACTGGAATTAAGTCGATTACAACGGAGTGGGCACGCTAACAAAGTTGATAGCGTCCGATTAAACCGGAATAACGCCAAGTTTTCTCTCGCGGTAACGGGATCGTTCGAAACTTGGAACAGGGGAAATTGTTTACGGACGGGGATACGTGGAGCCGACTTTTCCAGCTGTAAAATCTCGAAGCTCTAGTCTCGTTTCATGGCTTACTCTCTTTAGTCACGAGCCTCGAATTAGTTCTTGCCCTTCATCTCTTCCAAAAACGAAAATTTCCCTTTCAATGAAACTTAGTTTATTCAATCGCCGAAAAATCCATCCGCCATGACTAATCTAAAATTCCACGTAAAACGCAAAATACACAAAGATCACGGAAACTAGTACAAGAAACAGAACCAAGAGCAGAGAATAAAATCATGAAGAATCGGTTATTGCAAGAATATCGAATTCCGCGAAGTACTCAAACCAAGGGAAGATAAGATCAGTGGGAAATTTAAAAATCTATCGATATCTGATAAATCTACAAATTAATTGAGGGAAAAGGAAAATCCGAGTAGAGTTCGAAAGTCGAGAATATTATAGATTTCAGAAAGATTCGGAAGATTATTTTGAATTCGGAATTTCGAGAGGTGAAGAACATTGTGGTATAGCGTCCGACGTAACTGATCTTGGACAAAACGCTTTGCGAACCGACCCGAAGGCCGTGTTTGCGTGTGTGAGTGATCAAAGGCTACGCCAATGGTCGCGGACAGTGATAATGTCGCGGTGATGTTAGCGGAGATACGGTGCCCCGGTATCTTTATTACCCTAAGCGAGACACGTTGCTCAAGTTAATATTAATTGCCGTTTTATCTTGCTCAGACGGCTGATATATACAAATATATATCTGTATATGTATATACGTATATATATATATATATATATATATATCTATATACATCAATATACGTGGATATATATGTTTCGAACCGAGTAATCTTCGAAAATTTTATGACACTCAAACCGGTGAAGGTGAGACCTTCGAACTACGGGGACAAACTTCGCGGTTTCACTTAATATTTGCGATTCCATTGACGGACTCCGCCTTAATTTAACTGCCGAGACGTAACCTCTTAAAAAGTTTTACGACCGCCCGGGAAAATCACTTTGACGTTATTGCATCTGGCTCTCTCGTGTCTCGCTGTGCCCCGTCGAAATTGAACGACGGGCCCAGAATAATTGCTTCCTGTCATCGTGAGCTCGCTGACAAATTTTCCCGCGAACGGAAGAAATTGTTCTCGCGCTCACCGCCGAGAATGGTCACGGTAACTCGTCGGAAGTGGATCGAAAAGTTACCAACACGGTTGCATTGGTGATTTTCAATTGTACGCTTTATCGACTGATACACCGAAGCAGATAATGGTTTAATGGAGACACTTGGCGATGAACAACGAGGCGAACAAATTGTTCAGATTCTTTATTGGTGCTTTTATCTTTGTTTTTAGTTGGCTAGGTTTTTCGTGATTGTTAGTGACACATGTTGAAACGGACGACTTAGAAGAGATTGGAATAGTAATTTTTCTTTAAATTGTTTGTCATTTTGTACTTTAGATTTAAAGGTAGAGGATTAACGTACGTGATTGTGCAATGAAAAGGAAAGGGTTGATTTATTCAGATTTGATGAATACTCAATTCTTGTATTACTCCATCCTTGTATTACTCAATGCTTTCAATGCTCAATCCTTCTATGACTCAATCCTCCTACTACTCAATCTTTTTATTATACAATCCTTAAAGTGTCAGCTTAATGTCACAACAACCACTGAACCTATTGCTTCGAAATAGTAAATTCTCCATTTCCAATTCCCCGCTATTCATAGTTCAAACATGAAGGTAAGGGGTTAACGTAAATGGTCCAATAAAAGGAGAAACAAATTACCAAGATTCCAGCCTTATTCAATTTTTCTTTCGGAGCTCACCCGACGGCCATGGTAGTCAGCTTTCCGATCACACTCAGTATCGTAGCAACCGTTGAAATAAACGACTCCGTTGGCTCGTTGAGAAACTGTCACAGGTCGGGAACGAGCTTGCGATATTTGTTTCTCCCGTCGAACGTCAGAGTTTCAGCGATTCACAGGGGGAGAAGCGCGCGTCACTATGGGGAAAAGGACACGACACCGGCGTATATTCACGAGGCTGACTCGGATTTTATTCCGTCGCTATATCCTCGAATCTCTGCGGGACCCAGTATTCCCAGCATGTTTACACCTTCGCGAGAGCAGTTCCTGTTTCACAGTCGGGGGAGAAGACTGACAACGAAAGTTCGCGGCGCCTAGAATCATGTTCTGAAACTGTAATTGTCGGAACTTTGGATCTCGAACTTTTGAGAAATTAACGAGTTCGATGCTCGCGTTATATGTCTGTGACAAGTTTGTAATTTGTTCGAAGGAAATATGCACGGAAATATTAATTTATGATTAATAGATCAGACGATTATAATTGGAACCTGATATTTTAATTTTCTAAGAAATTAACGAGTTTTATCTCAGCATTATATATTTATGGGAACTTGGTAATTTGAAGAAAGGAAGTTTAATTAATCTTATCAAAGCTTCGACTGTTGTATCATTCAACGATTCAACACAAAATCTGGTTTTATGTTAAAATAGATTTTGTAAAGAAATAGGAATCGAAAAGTTAAGGTTTGTTATAGCAATTGGGTTTTTAATATTTGCTTGCATTTTGTGGACAATGGAATAGTTGGTTAGCTGATGTGTCATCGAGAATTTAATTTTTAAATTGGTTGTTCGTTGCCGAACAGAGAAATGGCGTCGAAGATTGGATACGAGTGATTTTCCTTATTTTTGTACATACGAGAAGGGGAAAGATTCACGGAACGGGTGATTTTATTGTTCCCCCGGTTCTTCGTAAATTAAACGCGTTTAATAATCGGTAGACACGTGCCTCGGAGAGGAAGTGCAACGAAGTTCAGTAGAATCTTCATTTTACACGGGCATTTTTTGGTGTAAGTGTGTCGTGCGCCAGATAGGTGATAAGATTACGGAAGAAGATAAGTTGCAGGGAGATAAAACGCTCTTTGTACATTGGACTTATAATTAATAGGAGTTTCAAAGCGTCTCTTGGAATCTCGGTGAAATTAGTACGTGAACGGTAGACACTTTAAACTTCCTGCGTACATTTCCCTTTCAATCCTTGCTAAACCTCTAATAAACTCCCCCAAGCAACAACTATTACCCAACAAAATCACAAAATGTCAATAAACAGCAACACAATCCGAACTTAATTTTGATCACCAATTAAACTCTTCCCTTTAAACAAACACAAAATTCTACAAATCAAAGGACACATTCAGCCATTAATAATTCTGAATTCAACAATTCTAGGTAATGTTTAATCGTTATTAGTGTAATGACATCCGAGCTAGCGTCTTTGTTCTAAAACAAAAGGGCTCTTTTCAAATTCAATCGGCTGAGAAGTGTGTCAGTTGAATCGGGCCGCTGGAACGCGTTATAATTCCCCGGAATGGCGCCGGTGTCGTAATATAATTGGAAACATACGGACTGTAATATCTTATGAACGGTGGTGCCATTAACGGGGCACGACGATCATCGTAATATACGTTTAGTTTAGTTTAGCGGGGTTCGGAGGGGACGGTCTTGCGCGGGAGACCGAGCAACCCCTCGCGTGCCGCCGAGGAGGGTGCATAATTTATCGCTTCTCCCCCGGTCCACCATAATGCAACACGTTACACGCTTGGTATGCATGTAGATTCCGAAGGTTATCGATGCGCCCCTTAGCGTCCGAGGGTGTAATGGGTCGCCTAACTACCGATAAATAGCCTAATCATCGATCGGAATTCATTGCCGCGGCTTTTCTCTTAATTCAATATCTGTCCGCGTAATTAGAGCAGCGAGACCGGAAGGTTTATGCACTTCTTTGGACACCGGAGACGTTACATTCAATATGTTCTCATAAATTTCGGCGAGTTTACGGGATTTATTTATTAAACCTGTGATTAACCAATGAAGTCGATCGAATGGAAATAGAATTATCAAATTGCTTGCATTATGAGAGGACTTCATACTTGTTTGTTATTTTATCGCTGAAGAGTAGTGCTGATTCATTGTTTTTGTTGAAGTTTTAATCAGCTAATGGCTGCAATGTTTAGATGCCTTTAGAAGTCATGCCCTGAAAATCGAGAGTTTCTATTAATACCTGATATAAATTATCAGGATATTCTATTGAAATATACGGAAAGTTTTAAATAAATGTACTGCGAACTAAAGATGGTATTAATATTAGTTTTCACGCGAGTGGTTCGATGCAATTCGATGGATGTGTCAATATATCGTGTTACTCATCATTACTTGATTTTCTTCGATATACAGATCTATAAAAACAGTCAATCAACCGAAAACTGTCTGACGGCTTTGAAAACTGTCCGAGCACAGCGGATACTGAACTCGACGGGACGGAGTTTCTAGCTGAAAACGGCAAGAAACGTGGAGAGGAGGACGGTAAAGCAACGTGACGACTCCGCTTAGAATAGAATTGGTTTTTATTGTGACTAGATTACAAACGGGGCCTTTCGGCGCTCTCAATATCTCGCCCAGTAGGAACGTTTACACGTAGTGAGTGAAACGACAACGGGAATGAGAACATTCTATCGCGGGCATTTCTCCGATCACTCACCGCTTCGGAACTGGGATATGTGATTACGACGAACATTTGTACGACATCGGGATTCATACAAAATAGCGGTCGTTTCTTACGTTCTAGCTTACGTCGATAGTTGATGTATAGCGTTTTTAGGTCTATTATCGACTTCCGAGGTTGATCGATCGCTCGCTCGAGCTTCTTTGGTGTCGCAGCGTCGTTCCCCTTCGAATCGATCAATTTCGATAGTCAACATAACAAATCTGATCCCCTCAATGGAAATTTCAACTTTAGTAAATTTCATTAAAGCACACTGTTTCTAGACGGTCCCTTTCTACGTTTCTTTCTGTTCACCGGTAACGCGAAGAAAAGTTTGAAGATTATTTTCGAAATGAATTCTGAAAGCGATTCTCACGACGAAAGGATTCATCGAATCGACGCACCTCGGAAGATCGATTTTTACACGCGCCCCATTCAAGGGTGTCGAATACAGTTTATAATTACTCAATAATGTTAATAATATTTATAACGTACGCTTAGCCGTTCAAAATGTCATCTCTCTCGCACTCGCTCGCTCATTCGCTCTCACGCTCTCTCCCTCTCTCTCTCTCCTCGTACACTATACAAAAGCGCCGCCGGATACCGCGACGCCCACCCAAATATTTCGTTTTTTATACTTACAGCCCGTAATGTTTTCTTTTTATTTTCGTTCTCCCCTTTTCAGTATTCTCTGCTGCGTTTAGTAGTTTATTTAATCATCAATTACAATATAACAATTTTCCGTTAGATATTTACGAATCGCGTGAAATCAGCGTCTACTATACATGTATCTACAGAAATAGTGAGTACGTGATCCGCTGCGGGATCTCTTACTTAAGCAATCCCCCCATCCGTTCTCTCCGGTTACGCCAGTCGAAATTGTGACTACGATCTTCGGATTTTTTCCCTTCCTCCCTCGTTTCCGATATCGTTCGTGTTCTCGAAACGCGCGCACCTTGTCGCGAGCGACGCAAGCGAAGTAAACGTTTAAGAAAATAAAGCTCGTCCTTTTCTTCTGTTCTCTCCTTCTCCCCTCCCCCCATACCTTTCCCCGTATTCATTAAGACTTCCCTTTTCGGTTGGATTAGCTGTTACAGCGGTTCGTTCGTATTGCACATCGGGTGGCACGAGTATTTTCGTCGAGAACCGAGACGAGAGACATCCTCCGATCGAACGTCGAATCCGTATCGATCACCGATCCGCGGGCAGAACATTCCCTCGCGAATTACTCTCGCGGTTGAAGCATATGCACCTCGAAACACGTTAAATATACACCAATATAATCGCTCGATCGTCCCGTGAACTCTCATCAATATGTACAACGCCGTTCCCGTTCGTTCCCATTTCTTCCACCTAAAATTCAGTTACCGATCCAACGTGACGGATGATCCGTATACCGTTCGCACAAGGCTCGACGTGCGTCGACCGAAAGTCATCGTCGGTCTCTGGAGTCTCCGGATCCAAGCAACCAGTACATCCGAAACATCGCCAGCATCGATCGTACACATTCATCCGTACACAAACCAAAGACAAAAGAAAACCAAAGAAAAGATACTTAGTCTCGCGATGGGATCCGTTCAGACGAATCGTCGGTCGCTGAAGCGACGTAACGCTGTTGAACACCATACTCAGTTCTCATCGCGCGGCAGGGACAGAGTCTGCGAGCCGGAAGCGATTGGCGGCATGGTCCAGCAGTCTAGCAGCGACGGCCAGTAGCTAGCACTGGTAGCGTGCTGCCAGTAGCCGGCCAGTCCAGTGCTTCCCCCAGTAGACGTACCGGTGCCTCCAATTCCGATACCGACGCCAACGCCGATACCGCTCGAGGTAGCCACGATCTGTTCGTTGCTGATTCCGTCGGTGTCTATCACGGACCTGTCGTCCTCTATCTTCTGGTCCGCCGTGGTCCCGTCGTCGTCGTACATGAGGTAAAGGGGGTGCGAGATGGTGGACGAGGGACTTGACGACAGCGTGGGCGACGCGGCGGACCGAGGCCTGGGTCACTCTTGCGAGCGAAGCTGATTGTCGGTTTGCTGGTTGCCCGGAACGCCGGGCGCGGCGCCGACGGGCACCACCTGGCTGCCGCCCCCGCCGCTTCCGGTCAGGGAGCTTCGCGAGCCGGCCATGGAGTTTCCGGAGTTCGCGGTCACATGCTGATAGGGGCTAGCTGTAGCCCCCGCGTCGCCTCAGACTTCGGCCGTGGCCATCGCGTTGACGAGGGTCTCCGTGCTGCCCGGGGAATGAGGATTGCCTTCGCCAGTGGAAGCCAGAGCGTATTGACACGCGCTGAGTCCTCCGCCGCCGCCAACCGAGGACGCTCTCGAACTGACTGGACTGCCAGCTCCCGAGACTGGCGTGTCTATGCTGAACGAGTTGCCGGATAGACCGCTGTAGCCGCTGCTGTGCTGCCTGGCCTTCAGCCGTAGCGAGGCGATGCTGCTGGATGTCATTTCCGGCGCCACCGCTGTTCGATGATGAGGCGGGTAGACTGGCGGCCCGTAAGGATGATGCGGCGCGGCGGGTGTCGCGTATGGACACGCTGCACCCGACGCTGTCACTGGGGAACCTGCTACGCCTAGGCCTGAACCCATCCCTGGTAACATCGACGTGGCCGCCTGGCCGACGGGCACCGACATGCCGCCCATGTGACCGCCCGCTACCGACGTCGCCGCCGCGTTGAAACAGTTCACTGGGCTGACTTGGGTGTGGTGATGGTGGTGCGACGCGGTTGGCACTACTGAACTCAGAGTGTTCACCCAGGAGAAGTTTTTACTGGCTAACGGGGATGGGACCTTTGTCGCCCAGTTGTTGTACGTGCTGTATGAACTGTACAGTGCGTTCGGGTCGGCGAAAGGCTGGCCGATGAAGCTGTTCAGGGTGGCTGGACCGAAGCTAGTCTTGAAATCGCCGGACGCCGCTGCGGCTGCGTTTAAAGCGTTTCGCTCTTTCTTCCGCCATTTGGCCCTTCTGTTCTTGAACCACACCTGCAAGCAAATGGAAGGGGTGTTTCAGATGATAGAATGATTCGAGATTGAGTTGTTCATAGGGTTGATCATTGATGGGTTTCTGGGGATAGTTTTATAGTTGCTGTTTGATTGTTAGTGGTGTATAGTGGAGTTTTGGATTTACTCTTTTGTTGAAAGGGGTAATGAAAGATTACCCATAGACTGTTACTTTGGAGGTTTTTCGTTTCTGATAATGAAATATACGATGATTGATAAGGATGTGATTATACTGGTGTACATACAAAAATTTATCAGCAGTTCACGTCTAACAGTAAGAACTTTTCACGACAACTAGCACAAAAACCATTGGTGCGAGGCTAATCTATCAGCCTATGAAATTGTATAACTTAAAATATTATTTTCATACAATGCCCGGTACACAAAAACCGACAGAATATTCCAGAGTATAACAATTAGCATCGGTTATCTTATCTTATCTGGTACAAAATAATTACGAACTGCTGGAGACAAAGTTGCACTGTATTAAAAACATTCCAACACCTGAACCGGTTGTTCTTCGCTCATTTTAAAATCTCAAGTACAATTTTCATAATCAAGAATCATCTAACAGTTCCCTCCCCAATTAACACTGTAACAACTGATCAGTAGAATTGTCTGCATCTCATTCCCTTATACAATCTATAAAACTAACTTTATCGAGACGTTTTGTTGTATTACATCCCATCTCCTTTCAATAATCATTAGAAATACGTAAAAAGGGTAAATTTATCTTCGAGTATTAACCAACCCCCGCAGTAAGTCTCAGTAACAAAACAAAACGAAACGTGAACTCTACTCTCCGTTGTCAGATTTCGGGATTCACGGGCGTTACTCGGCCGGCAAAACGGAGAAGCGAGCATTCCGCTCGGCAGAGAAGAGGCGAGGTCCCGAGACAAATGGCAAGAAAACCCCGGCGTGCTCCTCCATCCTGAAATATGATGGCGTTAATTCAAGGCGGCCCTTTCCCGCGCTCGATACTATACCGCCGACCGTAAGGGAGCTGCGGGGGCAGTGGGTGGGCCGAGGGTGAACCTCGTCAGCCGTTTCCACCCTCTTCCCGTTCCCATTCGCCCTTCAACCTCGACGCCGTCCCTTGCCTCTCCGCCGTTGCCTATCGTGTCGCGTCGTCCCGTTCCTTCGCGTCGCTTTTCCCCGTGACGCCCGACCCTCTCCCTCGACCCCGACAATTATACGGGTGGTTGCACTTAGATACACGTCGCTCTCGCGTAACTGTAAGGCAACGAGCGCCGGAATACCGCGTGGGGCCCGGGCACAGCAGTAGATATCTGGGTAGCAGTGACGGCGGAGCTGGGGAAAAAGGAAGGACGGAAGGAAGAAAGATGCCAGAGGGGTGAAACAATGACGGAGGCGGTTCGAGGAGCCTCCGTAAGATGGATGGGCACACGATCACGCCGTAGAAACGCTAAGAGGCGCGACGAATCATTGAAAGAGGGGTGGCGGACTGGCTAATGAAGAATAATGCGGTTCTTTTCGCGATTAGCCTCCAAAACGTCGCGCGACCCAGAGGGATCGGGAATTTGTGGATTTCAGTTTCGGCTGGGTAATGGATGCTGAGTATGGATTGATCATCGGGTTCGAAGTTTTTGTTGAAACTGTGAATGGAGCTTTATGGGGGAATACTAGAGTCTTCTGAATTTTATGGTTGTTATATTCCCTTCAAAGTTTTTATACCCAATATATCGTGAATATTCATAAAAATTGGTATCATTCAGAAACTAAGCAGTACCTGAAATCAACTACATACCCATTCGTCCTCATAATTTCATCGAATTTCAGGAATTCGATCCCGATTCATTGCAGTCGAGCATCTCACGAGTAATAATCGGACATTGAGAACCCATCACCGGAAGAACACGGCGCGCAAGCGTCTTCTCCCAGCTATTCGGGGAAGAGTTTCGCGTGAAGGAAAGGCGGGCACACCGGGAAGGAAAAAATATTTGCCGTACGTTTCCTCCCCGGTATAACAGAACTTTCCTTCGCGGGGGAACATCATTGGATTTCACGAAGCAACCCCGTAGACATGACACGGGGGCGTCGGTAAGCCAAGAGGGGGAGTGAGACTCGATAGGGCAGAACGGCAGAGTGTACGGCGGCCGAAAGATGCCGTGGCTCGAGAATCAATAAACTCTCGGAAGGCGCGCGCGGGTCGTTGGTATACACGCAAGGCCGCGCCCATAAACTTTAACAGCACCGTCGAATCGTGGCCGTCGAGGACGAGCTTGTCGTGCACCGGCCTGATGCCCGATTCCGCGGCTTATGAACTTGATGAATGAAGTTTGCACGGGACACGTAGGTATGTACCTACATAGGTCAATGTGTCGATGGAACACGACGTTGTTTGATTTGCGTTCAGTAAATATTTATTGCTGATGATCAATCGAACCAAGGCTTGTTTTAGTACTTTGTTCGGCTGTCGCTTGTTACGTTTGCAAATAAGAAATGAGGATTTCGTTTCAATGAAAATATAAAAATCTTCCTGATAAACGTAATAGTTCCAGCAGTTCAAGCGTTAAGCAGTGAATATATGGAAACGAGAACTGTTGATTAACGTTTGAACTTTAGTATTAAATATCGAAGATCGTTATAGCTTTCGTTTCGTCGCATATTATAGAGAATTTACAATATATCAAGCGATCCTGCATTGAATTACACGATAATGAAGCTAATTTGCAGATAAACCGGCGATTTATCGTGAAATCGTCGAGTAATAATTACTTCCAAAAGTTAATTTGAAAGATAAGTCGACGATTCATTATGAATCCGACGAAGATGCTTCGCGAGATTAGAAATTAGGAATTGAGGGATCGATCGACGGTCACAAGATCGAAATTAGGAAAGTAATTCTTCCAAAGATGCTCGATGGCTGTATTAGCGGCCGTTTTTCCAGGCTGTGCAGGAGAGGGTGGATGGTGGACGCGATAAATCGAATCCAATGTTTTCCGCTCGACAACCGCTTGAACAATGGCTCCCGTCACGTCATCCGAGCAATAAAACCTCATCAAATCACGACCCCTCGCCACCGCGTAAGCCTCCGCGCACGGCTCAATCTACGAAAGCTTATATAAATGTAATGAGACCGTGACCGGGGCTACCTCATCAATCAACCCCCACACGGGCCAACTTCTACTTCCCCGGGCTGTGCAACGCCGCCGGTTCTCCCTTGGTCTCCTTCTGCTGTACCGTGCCGTCGTATACCTACATACACGTTTTCGACGGCAGTATAGACACCCTCGAAAATGCTGCCTCATACGGGGTAATCCCGTGACTTAACAACGGGCCCTGAACAATCGGATAAACGCGATTCGTTTCGTTTCGGCTGTTACGGAACGATTGCCTTCATTTTTCTCGCGTCAACGTCGCACTTGCCGTATTATGAGCAGTTTCCTAGTCAGGATTGCATATGCTTGGAATTTGCATTTTTAGAGATTCAGAGGAACCTCGAATAATTTACTTTCGGACTTCTTTTTCTGGGAACCGTATTTTAATTGACTCATTTGATTATCCTTGGAATGTGTATAATCTAATATATTTATATTCATAACGGAGGTTTCCTAATAATCAGAGTTAATATTTTTATGTGAGCGTAATGCACCTTGATCGCTAAGGTAAAGCTCGAGGTATGTATTACCCGATATTGCGCCAGCCTTAAATGAATGAATTAATCCGCGTTAATCGATAATACCCCTTTCACGAGGAATTAACAAGACATATATCCTAGATATAATTTCTCTCCCAATCTCCAGTTGCCAATTATCCTCTTTACACATATTCAACCCCCTACTCTAGCCATCCTACATCCACACTAATTTATCGAGTCCAAAGACTGTGCTCTAACTCAAGAAACAAACAACAACACTCGAAAAAACATCTTTTCAATCCCCGAAATCCCCTAGTGAACCCAGCGAAATTATCGCCTCCTCCCTCATTACCCGAAACATCTCGGCCAATACGCTTAGCATCCTGGAACCACCGCAGCCTCGCGAAGATCCATCGACCTCCCTTCGCCGTGTGATCACAAAGGGGCCCGTTGTCCGTCGATCGACGAATCACCGTGTCCGCCCCCTGGCCATGATAAACAATCCGGCGCGAGATAGAGACGCACGCGTCGAATCAACCGTATCGAGGAGGCATCGAGCCAGCAGCAATTCGATTCCTGCGAAGACGCCCGTGTAGGAGGAGCGGGAAGAAGATCAGCGACTAGAGGGGGGCCACGAGGAGAACGACGATGGGACACACGACTGTGTGCCGTGGAGGTCGTCGGTTGCACACACCAGGGTGGAGACGAGACGATGGCGTTGGCGAACCCGTAGGAGGAACGAGGGGAATACCCGTGGGAAGGTTGCCTGACGGCGCGGCAGCGGCAACGGCGTCGGCGGGTGGAGGGGCTACAGAGGAGGAGAGCAGTGGTGGAGGTGGAGGAGGATAATATTGATCCCCTCGTAGCCCCGCCCCTCCTTGCCAAGCCGACGCCATCATTATATTATCCACCATCCCTCCGTCTATCCCGACATATGCGCACACCTACGACCTCAAAATCTACGGGACCTCTCTCTGCTCTGGCTGGTCCACGCACATCTGCTTGTCACTCCGCGCGCTCTCGGAACGGGTACTCCCCGTAGAGGAGTATGGGATTTTTCTCTCCGTTCTGTCGTTCCGTTCTCTTCCTTCCTCTTTCGGTCCCATTGTTTTTTGCTTGCAGCGTCTAGACTACCGGTCCTTCTGTTTCGTTTTTGGCAGTGGACTAGATTGAGTTGTTTATCAGTTTGCTCTGGGTTCTTGCGCCCTTCCGGTTGGACATTGCTGGAGATGTCTAGGAATTATGTTATGTAGCATTGGTGTTCGTTGGGGTATATTCTTCGTTCATTGGATAGTAAATTGACGAATGCTGTGGTTTATATCACGATCGTTCTCTTTGTTTCTACTGCATCGGCTACTTCGCAGTCCTTAAAACTCCACCC